CTGGGGGTTGCTCTGCTGCTTCCTCACACTCACATCTGGCTTTTAACAGCCTTTATGTGCATAAGACAGCAGTGATCACACTGACTGGTTTGGGCTGGAAGGACCTTAAAACTCATCTCATTCCACCCCCTGCCATGGGCAGGGAAAACTTCCACCAGCCCAGGGTGCTCCAAGCCACATCTAGCCTGGCCTGGAGCACTGCCAGGAATGGGGCAGCCACAAAATGTCCTGTATTCCTCCCTCTTATAATCCTGCATCAGGTCTTAAGAGCTCTTCCACAGCTCAATGCTTATAGACAGAAATAATTCTGGACTGAGCAGTATACTAGGGAAAAGAGACAACTTTTCAGAGCTATGTGACATACAAGAGCTTATACCCCCCCCCAAAGCCATCTCCTCAGCTGCACTGCTCTGTCTAGAGCAGACATTACCTTTCAGCACTGCTTCTGAAAGTCACTGGCCATGAAACACTGGCATTTATGTTTAAAAACGTTCTAAAATGCACTTAGTGTGTAAAAAGCACCAGTAGAGACACAACAGGGAGTGGATAAAAGCCCAGACTGGTCTCTCTGAAGTGGAAACTTCACCATTCCGTGCTGCAGGCTCTGCCTGCCTGCTGGGAGGAGACACGGAGGGGAAAAAGGCAGTTTTATGTTCCACAGCAGAGTGTGAGTGGGTGAGTTTATTCTGGTGCTGCACACACAGCTCGTGGTGCTCCCTGTGCTGCTGGCAAGGTGCCCCTGCCTGCAGAGCTGCCACGTCCCCCTGAGTGAACAGTAGCCTCTCAGAGAGGAATGCTGTCATTTGGGAGGGCATTTGCTGGGAAGGAATGTTTGGAGGGGGAAAAGCAGTCATCTAGTAAAAAAATAAAGCAGCATTCTTGGGTTTTCAGGAGCAATGATTCATCTGGAATCCAAAGCAGCTCCAGCAGCAGATATGTCTCTAGCAGTGCAGGAGAGCAGCAGTCAGAACACAGACCCTCTGACTGAGGCTCTGGGGGTGGCTTTTACCTCCCACTCTATGCTCAAGTGTCAAGTTCTCTTGGAAAGTACATCCACAGCCTGAACATCTGCACAGGGAGGAATGCAAAGGGGAAGCAGAAGGGCAGTCCCTCTCCATCAAAAATGGTCTTTAATTTATTGGCTGGTTCTTTACAATTCTAATTGCATTTCCCAGAGATACTGCACTAAAAAGCTTAGCTCAGTAAAATCTGAGTCTCCTTCCCCAGGTACTTGCCCACGAGACTCCATCCCAGGCCTTTCATCAGTCCTTAATGCTGTGTGGGGCCTTTGTACTATTTGTCCTGACTGTGGCATCTGCAATACCTCAGGGCCTAACACCTCCTACTAATGAAAACTCACAACTCTCAATTAAAAGCTCTTTCACTAAGGCTCATCTGTTTAAACAGGGGCCAATTATGCATCCCAATTTCTATCAGTGATTTGGCCACCTTCTCAGTCCCTATTATTAGCACATCAACTCTGACAGAACCCATGAGGGGACACTGGAGTGGCTGAAGGAGTAAATGCCCCAGGGCTGTCTGGCACAGAGGACACATCCCAAGGCTGAGTAAATGCTGCCTTTGAAATACACAGTGACAACTCACCAAGAGAGAGAAGACATGGACAGACTCGAACATTAAAAAATACAAATTAAATGCCACACATGTCTGACAGGAAAACAAATGTCCCTAAAGTCCCTCTGGAGGAGCCTGTGGGGGCAGTTTTAGGGAGCAAACAGCTAAGAGCTCCCCAGTTTGCAGAGGATTTCCACTACCTGTGAGTGCACAGACCCACAAACTGCAGAAGTGCAACAGTTACCAATGGATACAAATACAAGTAGCAGCAACTTGAAAACATCTAACAAGAGTGACCTTGAAGATCCAACCTCAGCTCCAATGGGTTTCTAGTGTTCCTGTGACTTAGAATCATTCCTGAAGCAACCACCTTCCTGGGATCACTATTTGGAAGCACTTTTAAAGAAATTCATAGCAAAATAAAAGCCCTTAAGCTAGAGGCCATTCTCATTTCAGGGATTTGGTCACAGCAGCTGAAGGAACACAACAGCAGCAACTACATTCCCTCATTTCAGGAAATCCCTTAAAATCATCAGCTAGCTCTAATCTGCAGCATTCCCATCAGCCCCAGCAGCTCCCAGCGTGAGGCAGGAGTGGATGCTGAGGGCCAGGAGCAGAGGTGCCCCAGGCAGGTGTCCTGTCCCCCTGTGAGTCAGCAGAGCCCCATGCTCACGTTTAGTATGTTAGTTGCAGCACACAAGCCATGCCCAGCCCAGAAGAGCACTTCCACCTGGGATACCACATTTCCAGCCCATCCCTGCTCCAGCAGCCCATGAGCTCAGTTTGCTTTAGGCCACTCTCTTCTACAGAGACACTGAAGGACAGAGAAGTAATGCAAACTTCTGCCCCATGTTCAGCAATGAAGCAGCACAGTCCCAGAACAGACTTCCTCAGACAGGGAATCCCTTGGGAAGACGTTCCCCTTACCTCTTAGAGACTCTGTAATGTGCTGTGGTCAGTTTCCCAGTCTCAGGGTCATGAACAGTAGCACGGCTGAGCTACAAAAAGAGAAAGGACAGGAGCTTACCCACCTCGCAGGCCAAGCCACAGCGGGGTGAGGGCCGACCGCTGCGGAGGCAACGCTCACAGATTGGCAGTGTTGGAAGGGCAACAGAAGCTGCAGCTGCCAGGGCCCAATCACCACAAATTGGTTGGAAAAATTTGGTTACATTGTCCTTTCACTTTTTTCCTCCCTTTTTTATTTTGTTCTCCTGTTTTTTTGGTTACCCACCTCGCAGGCCAAGCCACAGCGGGGTGAGGGCCGACCGCTGCGGAGGCAACGCTCACAGATTGGCAGTGTTGGAAGGGCAACAGAAGCTGCAGCTGCCAGGGCCCAATCACCACAAATTGGTTGGAAAAATTTGGTTACATTGTCCTTTCACTTTTTTCCTCCCTTTTTTATTTTGTTCTCCTGTTTTTTTGGTTTAAACTCCAGCTGCAAGTCA